CGAAGCCGACAGAGCATGTGGGACCCGATGGACGTTTTAAGGCGAGCATCTGCGATCAGCCAAACGGGTTCCTGCGCAAGCAACGCAACCTCTGTCTGCGATATATCCAACTGATGGAGAGTGTGGTGAGAGGCTACTTTATGGGACTACGTGAGTGTGAGTACCAGTTCGCAGCACATCGATGGAACTGTCAAGGCTACAATCTCACTATTCGTGAGCCCACGCGACGAAAGTCGGCTAGCGTACTCCGACCGAATCAGGTAGAACGAAAAGAGCCCAAACGACTGCGGACTTATATGGATCGCCTACTCTCAAGCGGTAGGTCATGATCAGCTTGACTTCTGTTTTGCAAATTCTTTCCTGATTTTCCATTGTCTGCGTCTGGATTTTGTCTTCAAACGCAAGGATAACAACGTCCTCCGGTTTTACGCGTAGTAGTATTATTAATAAGAACATAGTTAAGATGTCGATTTAAATGGGATTGGGACAGGCGTTCTTTCTTCCCTTTCACTAACTTATGTGCAGTATATGAACTACAGTGTTTTATGAGTCCAAGCCTCTCCTCCAGTCCCGAAACCGCGGTAGATTTCGGATATATGCGTTGCCTTTAAATTGCGTTTATTTATATTTAACTGGGTACTGTTGATTCTTTTTAACTATCCAAGCCTTCAAAACGCCAATGCCATTTCCATGAACCTAACGCCTTGAGACAAGACGGTATAAGCTAACCATGCTCTGCATATTTAGTTCAAATGTTGGGTACCAACTTTGATGCTTAAAGTCTCCATTGAAATTTATTACATTTAACTGAGAGCCACACTGGCTGGCAAGTCTGAAGCACAGCAGCAGGCTGACTAAATGCTTGTTTCTTTATTTATTTAATTATGAGCAACAGAAACACCGGAAAAGCACCGTCCCCTTTGTTCACAAACTTGTGAGGAGATTGATCATTTGTGCATCGCTGAAGTGTAATTGGTGCGCTTCTACTCTCGTGGCAAAGTAACTTTCTTGCTGAAAGAATAGTCTGGGTAGTCTAAAGGAAATTCTGGCCGATTTTTCAAAACCATGTGACTACTGCAGTTCCTATTCACGCAAGCAAGCACATTCCCCAGACACCAGCGGTGCATGCAATGCTCCTAGTAAAATCAGCGCATTCATCTTCGACGGGAAGTTAGCACTCAGCTGATCTTGAAATTTTCTTTGGCAGGAAACGTACCTTCGAGTCTATTCACGTACTGCAAACTGTTGGTTTAGAGGCGAGCAGGGTTCCAGTAATCTATGTGACTGAGGTTATCAAGTGTCAGTACTTCTGTACTCTATATATTCTTGCTAATTTTTATGCATAAACTTAATTCTTCCTTTTCGAAAGATGCCTAAATATCAGGTCCTTCTCTCTACCCACAAGAACGCATATATTCATAAAATTAACTTTTTAGAGAGGTGTTTTATTAGTTGTTAATGAATTCGAAATGCAGAATTTGGGACGTTTGCTTGGGTCGTGTTGCACTTCGCTATGTGATACCTACAAACTAAACTGTCATTAACGAGAGCCATTCCACACAGGGAGTTGCTTCTTATGGCCAGACAGCCTTATCCATGATTTTACTAGTAGAATGTATAGGTTTTACTTCAAAAACTTTAAGGAGATTAAGAAATTTGGGATTATTTAAAAACTGGTCAGAATTACTCTATCACTGTGTTTGCATCTTATCTACGCCCTATATGTAGCTTAATGAATACCTAATTCCCAATAAATGGCCTTATACCCGCAAAGTGCTGTGGGTTATGGCTGGAAAATGCAAGTAAGGTACACGCGCAAGTCAAATAGATAACGTCCCCAGCTGGTATATGGGACGTTGTCCTTCTCTCTTTTAAACTGAAAGTCATTTGGGAATTTAGTTACCAGTGGGTAATTTTGGTTTGAGCTTTGGAGCATCAGTTTGCCATCTACTTTTCACTCTAATAAAAGCACGCAACCCCTTGGTATTGATTAAATGGTCGGCTAATTTAGTCTGGGTGTAGGATTAACTCCTCAAATTTCCGGAAGCGTGGTGACCGCACATTAGTTTCTCCACCACAAAAGGCTTTCAGGCAATGCAACTTACCTCTACTCCTATTCATCTAACGTCCGGGACAGAACTCGTGAAATTTCAACCGAAATTCTGAGAATCCTTTTAGAGTGAGAAATATTAATTAAGTAGGGCTCTAAGAATGAAAATTGTGTGTAACTTCAGGCATCCCTGAATGTTGCGACTGGACTGACTTGGTTTTGGTCACCTGCAAAGACTGCACTCGATAAAAAACTGACTACTTCTTTTGTACTCCTTTTTATCTATTGGTTTTCAATGCTCCTATAAATTCGAATGTCTATTATAGAAACCATACTCACGATTATGCTTATAATGACTTAATTCAATTCTATCTCAAGAAGAAGGGTATATATCGATTTTGAGAACGCTTTATAAATCCAGATTAACTTTAAGACGTATCCAATGTTGCATTTACGTTGAACGTACATACTGCATGCTTTACGTGTAAGGAAAATTGTACATTTTCCTATGCTCATAACATTTTACAATGCATTTGGCTTCTGCTGTATATTTCAGAACGAGTATTTATACTCATACAGATCTGATACTATGTAAATGAAGATCGCATCATTAGAAACAATTTAAACGTGAGTATATCCTTATTGCTCTGAGTATCCAATACGAAGAAGACGTGATTACTTGTCACATGAGTACGAGCATGGATATTTTTGAGCTTATTTTCTATAAAATACATTTAATTTTAATTGAACTTTGAAAATGCATAGAAAA